CAAAAGCAATGGAGTTCCTAAAAATTATATGGATAAAATTAAACGAATGAAAATGGGCAAATCCAATAAGAAGTGTAGCATATGTTGCAATGAGTTCCAGAAAGGTAAAGAGTATTTAATATATTAAGAGGAGTAGATTTTATAGCTCCCTTGTAAACATATATTTCACGAAAATTGTTGTAAATCTTGGCTATCCAATAGCCGTAAGTGTCCAAATTGTAGATCAGATATAGTAGAGCTGATAAAGAAGGAAGCACAATGAGATAACCATCACAAATTCATGGTATAAAAAATATTTATTTATTTTCATAATTATATAATATTACATTATCAAAGATGAGTTATATGGAAATATTATCCATGCAAAAGAGTTTCCTTGATAAAAATGGGTATTTAAAGATTATATTCCCTTAGAATCAGTTTAGACGATTATAGAAATACATTTATTCGTAAAACATACACTCTCCTACTCTTGGAATATATTGTAAAAATAATTCTTAAATCTTAGTGTTTTTGTGGTGTTTCACTTTTAGGAAAATATATATATTAATATGAAAAATAATGGATCTTTTGGGGCCTAATCATAATTTGCTAACTATGTCATTTTTATTTTGAATACAGTGCTTCTCTGGCTGACAATTAAAATAAAAAAATTTGGAATACATTAGCAAGTGTAATTTACTTAAGTTGTGGGAGCTTTGCATTTATTTTTATTTGGACTCTTTTAGGAGTGAATTTTGAAGATTAATTATGGAGAATTTATTTGTAAATTGGAGGTGTAATTTTAATACTTAATTTTTATTCAAATATGACAAACACTCATTTTTAAGGAGAAGGTATTGAATATCATATATATATCTATTATTAGAATGCTGGTTGATTGTATTAATTACTCCAATTTCAATTGAATTCATATTGAATATATTTGTAGGAATCTATTCACCATTATTTTAAACATTTGTGACTATGATTATTACATGGTTGAGTTCATATATGTTATAAATCACTTAAAAATACAAATTATAAAAAGAAGTAATTTTTGATTTTTTAAAAAAAGTTCACCTTCGATGATATTTAAGTTTTATGTTGTATGTTATTAGGAGTTCAATTTCAACTATTAGTAGGCTTGACCAAATCAATAATAAAAAACCAAAATGGCTAGAATGATTTAAGTATTGGGAGTTATGAGATTAAGTTAAAATACCTTAAATAGATATCGTCTATTTTTTCAATTATCATCCTTATTTTGCAAATTTCATTAATGTTTGGATGTGGATATTAACCTTAATGCTTTTCGCATTTTTTAATTAAATACAACAGGGAAGATTATTCATTTTCTGCTTTATTTTGGGTGAGCTTAGCTTTTTCTCTTATATTATATCCATTGATTTTGATATTTCATCGAAGAATTAATTATGTATATCTAAATTGATATCTAGATAATTAAATGGGTTTTAGTAATAATAGAACTTTTTTTCTATTCATTAATCCTTATTGGCATTACAAGTTTTATGGTAATGCAAGAAGACAACACTACTGATGATTAAAGCAAAACTTAATTAAGGGAATATTTATTATGCATTGCTCTAAGTATGTTCACAGGTATTGGTATTGGATTTGAAGCATATTCATTTATCAAAAAGGAAAATATTGAAAATAAAAAGGCATTTCTTTTCATGATGATTTGTCCAATTATCATATTTATAAGTTAGATCTAATTTGCTATTATGCAATTCTAAGCTATAGTTATAACCTATTTAATCGGAATATCATGCGTTTTTGTTGCATACGCTATAGTAGTGTTATTAGAATTAAATTGGTAATTGCATAAAGACAGCATAGACCTAAATGCAAAAGAATACTAATTGGGAGCTATGCTTATATATTAACCAATTTAGACAATAATTGCAAGAATATGTACATTATTTATATGATTGTATATTTAGAAAATCTATTTCATATGTTTATATCTTAAATTCATATCATTCTTATTCTTCTTCATAATCTTCTTTATTATCTTTCTGTTCTGATTAATGCTCATTTTCTTACTGTTCCTACTCTTACTCTTATTCTTACTCCTATTCTTGATTAAATTCTTCTTCATAATTCTCATCCTCATAATTTTCCTCAACTTCTTCATGTTCTTGTTAAGGTGGCTATTCTTTTTCATTTTCTTATTTTAGACTTTTTTGTTTTTCTAATTACTCATCTTTTTTTGAAATATCTTTTGAATCATTTACAGTTTCTATCTTTTTCTATTCTTATTATTCCTTTGTATCTTTTTACTAAGTATTGCTATTTTTTTGATTGTTTGACCTATTCGTGTCTGTCATTTTCGTTATTGTGCCAAAATCTTTCTATTTTCCGGTTTAAGTTGAACTCAAAAATTTTGTTCTATTACTAGTATGATTATGACCTTGGGATTCAAAATGAGATTGACTTGTTTATTTAAATTATTGAATCCCTGTTTTCTAAACTTGATATTCATGTTGTTAATTCAGTGGAAGCTAATTTCTAGATTAATACAGTCTTTCCATATATTTTTATTGTTCTTAATAGCTAGGTTTTTCAATGCAAGGAAAGAAGTTATCGCTGCCACCATAAGATTTTTCTCTACTATTAAATTTAACATTACTTATTGATTTTAATTTTAAGAATTGCAGGAATTTGAGCATAAGGACTTTCTAATTATTTCTTTGTTAATTTTGGCACACTATATGATTTGATAGAGGAGGAGATAGTAGTCAATGAATTGTTATAAAATTTTATACTGAGGCTTTAAGCTTAACTTAAGTCTTATTTTAAATTCTAAGCAATTGATTATGAATTGTGTAATTTGCTAACTTGTTTAAAAGACAAAATTACCTTAATAATTATTATTCTTCGTCTTATAGTTTTTGATAATATTATTATTATTAATCTAACTTTGAAGATAATTAAGCTTTATATTATAATTATTCTGCTCTTATTTTTTCAATTTTTTCGTTCTTCTTATATTCTAGATCTTACTTCATTTAGAATTCCCATTCTGAAATCTAAAATAAACTCTTATTCAAAAATTACTTTGTTAAATTACTATTGCTTATTATATAACTCCTGATCTTTTAATTTTTTGAGTTGATATTAAAGAATCTGTGAGTTTTGTTTTTATGTAAGTGTTCTCAATAGTTTATCATCTGATAATTATTATTTTATTTTCATTGTTTCATCAACTTATGATTGCTTCATTAAACGAATACGATTATAATTCGCATCTTTGAGGCTTTGAGATTATTCAAGTTATTTTAATAACTAAAATTACTAATAATATTTACATCTCTCTGATCTTAATATGTGCTTTCCTTAGTTTCCAATATTTTGTTAACTTTCTATTATATTATATGATTATTCGATTCTTGTAATTTTAACTATTATTTTAACTAAACCAGTCTATTTTCTAATTAAGAAAGCTCTTGATTCTTCGATTACAATGCCTTAATTTATTGAGCTAAAGATTCCATGATTTAAGGCCAAATTCGCTTATAATAAATTGAATATAATAAATAATTATCTAAAAGAAATGATTTACAAATGAACAGTATAATGTATATCAGATAATTTTCACAGGAGTGTTTCTTTCATTACTCATTTATAAAAATGAAAATCTTTTTTCTAATCCAATTTTTGTTGGAGAATGGATTAAATCCTACATAACTAAAGTATTATCATCTTCGTATTTTATCACATTCATGCTGAATATTCCAACAGCATTTAATTTCTAATTAGTAAAATATGGATGATTTAGTAAATCTTTGGCAAAAGGGCGATGATCAGGATTAGTCTTCAGCATTTTAAATCTTATAATTTTGATTATTCTTACAATAGATCTTTTTACTCAATTGTTAATATATCGTATCTCTTATCATCTGGATTAATATTGCATTCTTTATTTAATTTAAGTAATTCCAAATGTCCTTTACCAGGAAATACTCCCTCTCCTAGTAAAAGTAAATGAAAAATTGCTCCACAACTAAAGATATCGCAGATTCTACTATATTCTTTATCTTTTTCAACTAAATTGGCAACTTTACTCTAATTAAAACATAGAAATTACTTTCTGGAGCAACATATCCCGGAGTACCACATTTAGGATAAAGATAAGGAACATCAGATTATATTGTAGCAAGGCCAAAATCACCTATCTTTAATGTTGTAAAATCTTATGGTTTCTAAAAGAGTATGTTTTCAGGTTTTAAATCTCTATGCATGACTCCTTTGCTATGAATATACTCAACGGCTAACAAAAGGTGATGCAAAATCTAAAAATACTTTTAAATAATTACAATTTTAACTTCTGAATCTTCTAGAATTAAATTCCGTTTTGTTAATTCTGCTTACAAATTTTCCCCAGAACACAAATCCAATACTAAGTTTATACTATTTTCACCATCATAAACCTCATGTAAATTCACTATTTAAGCATGTGGACTTAAAATTCTCATAATTTCTATCTCATTCATCACTGCCTTTAATCCTTTATCAATTTTATCAAGTTTTTTTTTCTCTATACACTTTCCCGCATATTGCTATCCAGTGAAAATATTTTTCAATTGAAATACTACAGCATAACTACCCTCTCCCAATACCTGCTAAGTTTCATATTCATCTTCAAGGGAACTTTGTTAAACAAATTTCTGTAATATCTTTTTTAAAGCTATTAACATCTCAAAGTCTGCATAATATTTCAATAATTCTTTATTAGTCTCTAAAGTAAAGCTTTTAAGAAAGGTTTTGAAGGTTTTTGAATTAATTGAATAGTTCCACTTTACTCTATTTAAATTTTCAAACATTATCACTCTTGCAGGATCACCTTTATTTTAGTTCCTATTTATTATCAAGCGATCCTCAAACACATATATAAATCTATTCTCTTTTCCTATGAATTATTTTTTCTTAGTTTTGCATTAAAAGAGACATTATTCATAATCTATGCTCTGTTATTTCATAATATTAATACTCAATGTTTGGATTATGATGAATTATAAATTAAATAATACAATTATCAATTACTTAATGTAAATATACCTAAAAATTATCGAATTGCATGTTGTAATGTATTAAAAGTTTTACATCTATTTTACGAACTTTGAATTATAATAAATTAGATTGATATAATTAAATGTGATTATAATTTTATGATAAAATTTAGATTTTGTAAATTTGCTTAAATCAATAACATTACATCACTTAAAAGTAGAATAGGAGGCAGTTCAAAAACACCAGAGTATGATTTATATCGCTCTTATTATAATAAAACGATTGAAGATGTAAAAGAATAACCAGGTGTGACAATTGTCAGAAATATAAATGATGCAAAAAGAGTCATTGATATATTAAATAAATATAAAAAACAGCCTCATGCATGGGATACAGAAACTATAGATATCGATGTAAAGAGTGAGACTCCAATTAATAGAGGAAAATTAATTTGTGCTAGTGCATTTGCAGGTCCTGAAGTTAATTTTGGGAATGGTCCTAGGTTGTTTATAGATAATTTTGCTTAGAATAGTGATTTAATTATGCTGTTTAAAGAATATTTTGAAGATGAAAAGATATTAAAAATATGGCATAATTATGGTTTTGATAAACACATCTTTGGCAATCATGGAATTAATGTTAGAGGATTTTTTGGAGATACTATGCATATGGCCAGACTATTAGATCCATCCAAATAGCCTTAAGAATATAGTTTAGCCAAATTATCATTAGCCTACGAAGAAGAAATTAGACTAGTTAAAACCAAAAGAATGGAATGTTTATTGGCAAAACCCAACTTAACAGATGAAGAAAGAAGTAGCCTCTAATTATTTGGAGATCATCTACTTGATGTCAATCTCAAAACTAGTATGAAATAGATCTTTGGACAAAATAAGGAATTAAAAAATGGTTAAGTTAGTAAATTAAAAGTATACCCTAAGATATTATAAATGCATTGTCTCCCTCAGTATATTAATTAATGGATTGAATATTCTACTCTGGATTCAGAAATAACATATTTTTTATGTCTCACTTTAAAAGACTTATTGAACAAAACAAAAATATTTTATAACTTAAAATCCACAGATTCTGATTATCAGACAAAAAAAAATGAATTTGGAATTAATAATTTAGGTGATATCTACAGTAAATATTGGAATTCTTTAGGAGAAATATTAACAGAGTTAGAGCGGGAAGGTATGCAAGTTGATATGGACCACGTAAAAAATATTAAGATAAAAGCTGAAGAAGATATGAAATAATATGAATAAAACTTTATTAAATGGGTATAAACTACTTAAGAAGGAGATGTGTCTTAATTCAATTGTAGTAGTACTTAACAACTATAATAATTATTCTTTGCCCCATGTAAGAAATAGTAAGTGAAAAAGACACCTTAAACAATGAAAGAAGAAGAAGAAGAGGATGAATATCTTTCAGATGGAAGGAAAAAATCTATAAGGAAAGAAGTTGAAGACTTACCTGAAGTAAAAGGATTTTAGATTGATAATATACATTAAATTGTTAAAGAAAATTAGAGAACTCCTCTAAAATATACTGAAATGCTTATAAAAGGTTTAGGAATAGAACCTTTAAGTTATACTCCTAGTGGAATGCCATAAGCTGATTATAATGCCTTGAAGTAATTAGCAGGAGATGTAGAGAAGTAGCAATATGGATTAATATATCATCACTTTGTTGGTAAAGGGGAGCCTTAAAAAGGCATTGATGCATGCATAGCAATAAATGATTTATTGGAATTAAAGAGCATAGAAGTTTTATTGCATACTTTTATTATCCCATTAATTGAATTAACTGATCCATCAGGTCGTATTCATACCAGTATTAATATAAATACAGAAACTGGAAGATTAAGTTCTAGAAATCCAAATTTATTAAATTAGCCTGCATTAGAGAAGGATAGATATAAAATAAGAAAATCCTTTATAGCTAAAAAGGGAAACAAACTAATAGTGGCTGATTATGGTTAATTGGAATTGAGAGTATTAGCACACATGACTAAATGTAAAGCTATGATTGATGCTTTTTTAAAAGGAGGAGATTTTCATTCTCGAACTGTCATTGTATGAAATTATTATAAATCTTTTAAGACCATGTTTCCACATATCTAAGAAGAAATAGATAAAGGAGAATTATTAATTGAATGGGACAAATCTAAAGGAAAAGCACCAGCTCCATTAGTAAAAGACAAATATGCAGCTGAAAGAAGAAAGGCTAAAGTTTTGAATTTTTCAATCGCTTATGGTAAAACTGCAACTGGATTTGCAAAAGATTGGTAATGTGAAGTGAAGGAAGCATAAAAAACTATAGATGCTTGGTTTGCTTAAAGAAAAGAAGTGGTATTATATTTGGTTTAGTTAGGAATAATGGTAATATAATGTGAGAATGATTGCAAAAAATTAATTTTTCACTTAAACTTTACTAGGAAGATATAGATACTTGGAAAAATATTTTTAATAATAAACTAGATCTTATATCAATCATGGATTAAGAGCAGCGATAAATACTCCTATTTAGGGAGGAGCTGCAGATATTGTAATTGCAGCTATGGTCAAAATATATAAAAATTAATCATTGAAAGATTTGGGTTACAAATTACTTTTGCAAGTTCATGATGAATTGATTCTCGTAATTTAATAGTTTAAAATATTTATAGGAAGGTCCAGAAGAAAATGCTTAGGAAGCTTTGAAGATTGTAAAAGAGTTAATGGAAAATCCTTTTGAAATTTAGCTAGAATTACCATTAGAAGTTGATGCTAAAATAGGAAATAATTGGTATGAATGCAAATGAAATTTATTGTGTATTTTAAATCAACATTTTTTGTTTAACAATAGTTCAATTTTGTATGATGACTAATACAATAAAAATTATTGATATCTAATTTGATGATTAAATATTATGTAATATTAAATTTTCAGAAGAATAAATGTCGACTGGTTTAGTAATTAACCAAGTTAAAGAGAGGATACTCTTTTTCTCCCCAACAGTATAGGGTAAAATGGAAAGAGAAGCTTGTACTCAAGATTTTGAAGTAATTTAAGGATTGGGATAAGGAGCATTTGGAAAAGTATTTAAAGTGAGACATAAAAAAACAAAAATGATTTTTGCTCTTAAATAAATAGCTAAAAAGTAAATAAAACAACAGAAAATGACTTAATAAATCATTAATGAAGTTAAAATAATGTATGGATTAGAACATCCTAATATTGTAAAATTATACAATCATTATGAAGAAGAGGATTATATTTATTTAATTTTAGAATGTGCAACAGGAGGGTAATTATGGTAAAAGCTGAATCGAGTAGGTCGTTTTGATGAAAAGACAGTCAAATAGTTTATGTAGGAAGCCATGTCAGCAATAGAATATTTGCACACAAGAAATCCCCCAATTATTCATAGAGATATTAAACCAGAAAATATATTGTTAGATGCAAATGGACATATTAAAATAGCTGATTTTGGTTGGTCTAATATCAATAATCATTAAAGAACAACTTATTGTGGTACATTAGATTATTTGGCTCCAGAAATGATTTTAGAATGTGGTCATGATGAAAAAATAGATCATTGGAGTTTAGGAGTCTTAATTTATGAATTATTAACTGGAAAAGCACCATTTGCTCCTTCCTCATAAATTAAAGATCAAAAAGAATCCTAAAAGATTCTTGAGGATAATATTTTAAAAGTTAAAATCAATTTTCCAAATGATTTCCCATCTTTGGCTAAGAGTTTGGTTTAAGGATTATTATAAAGAGATCCATAAAAGAGATTTAATATTCAAAAAATGAGAGAACACCCTTGGTTTGCAAATTGCTAAATCTAATAGGAAGTTTAAAGCGAATAGAAAGTAAAGGCAGAGAATATTAAAGATATAATTAAAGATGACAAAGCATAATTTTCAAAGGAGGAAATTGCTAAAGTCGTAAATAGATAATTAAATTAAGCAAAAGAAGAGGATGATGTAATTATAGTTGTAGAGGATTAAAAAGAAAAAGAGAAAGAAAGTACTCATGACTTTTCAAAAAACACAGTATAGTTGTTGAATAATAAAATAACTGATCTTTAGAAGTAATTAAATGAATCAAAAATATTATTATAAGTGAAGATTGATGAAATCAAATAGTTGTAATAATAATAAGAATAACCTTCTCTATAAATGAATGTAGATACTAGAAAAATAAAATTATTGGAAGAAGAGAAGACAAAATGGAAATATGCTTATGAGTAAATTAGAGATGAATTACATGAGAAGCAAGCAGAAAATCTAAAATTAAATGCTGAATTAGAAAAAATATAATCATTAACAAAATCTTTAGAAAAATAAAAAGCGGACAAATAGTTATTACAAGAAAAAATCAAGAAACTCTAGGAAGAAATTGATTAAAAAGATTAATAAATTTTAGAATTGAGAACTGAATAAGATGGTAGAGTATAAAATTCATTTCATGGAAGTTTCTTAAATTAATCAACAATTGAAGATGGCAAAAGTGTGGCAGATTTAAATTTAACATTTCAAGAAATGAAAAATTCATTTCAAATTGCTAGAGAATAAATTGAGGAATTTGATAAGGCTTAAAGAAGAATTATTTAATAAGAAGCAGAAATAATAGCCTTGAAATCTTAATTAAATGAATATAAAGAGTCAATTAGAATATCAATTTAGGAATAATATGAAGATTAGATGGAAGAATTAGAAAAAAAGTAAAGAGATTAAATTAGAGAATTAGAAGCTAAACATTTTAATGAAATCACAAAATATGAAAATGATAAGATGAGTTTGAGAGATTAATGTAATGAATTAGATATTTTAAAAAGTGAAATAAGTTTGTTAAAAAAGGATTAAGAATAAGCAAATTTAATTATAATGGATTTAAAAAAATGTAAATGATTTAAATAATTTTAGAATAAGAAATAGATAAGAGATTGAGATATCAGATGGATTAGAGATTAAAGGAGTAAGATATACTAATATTGGATTTAAAAGAAAAAGAAAGAGTGTATCGTAAAAAATGATTATCTATAATTCACAAATTCTAAATTTTTTATGTTATCTGATTGATTTATTTATCATAATTTTTTTGTTTTTAATCATTCATTCTCTTTTAAATATCTACAAGAGTAATGTTCATATATTCCTGCTTAGCAGTGGCAATAACTTCATTAATTTTTTCAAAACCTTATCCAGTTAATGATGAAACTTCTAATACTGTAAAGTTATTATAAAACTCTTCTAAAGTCAAAACCATTTATTTGCTCAAAGTAGATAAATAAGTATCCTTATTCTTTAAAGCTTCTGTAAATGAATCATAATTTCTCAACCATTCTAATGGTTATTTTGAATCAGCCACATCACACTTATTAAAAACAATAACCATAGGCAATTTAAATTTGTAGAATATACTGCAACTAAATAATAAATTGCTCATAAAACTATTAGGGTTTTAACATCTTGCAATATCAATAACATAAAATATTATTGTAGGCATAGACATAGATAATGTTTATGATATTAAATTGCCAGATGCTGACCAAGTAAAAACTTCGATTTGTCCAGGAGTATCAATAATTTATATATTGGAGTCTGACTTTTCTATTTTTTCAATTAATTAGTTTAATTGAAGGGAGTAAAGATTGAGTGCTGTCATGATTGCTCCATTAGGACCAAGTTTATTTCTAGAAATGATGATAAGGGATAACTTACTTTGTCATCAATTCTTTATAATTAATTGATTTACGAATATCTTCTTCAGGTTCATAGGGTAATGAATAAACAGCAGGATCAAGATTAATTAAAGTATGTTTTTCATTTTTTAATTGTTTGCTTAATTGCTAATAATATTGATTGATTCCTAACCTAAACGAAAGTTGTTTTGCCAGTGCCTGCCATTCCAATTATAAGTATGGCGACCTTATTTTCCTTTATTTAAAATTCAATGTCCATTAATTAAATGAATAATAAACTAGAAAAATTAGTGCAAAATTTGTTCAAAGAAGGTGTTATTAAATCTGAAATTGTTAAATAAGTTTTATTATCTGTAGATCGAAAATAATTTGTTGATGAGTCCGATAAAATATAAGCCTATGAAGATTACCCATTATAAATAGGCTATAATGCAACAATATCTGCTCCTCATATGCATGCTTACTCTTTAGTATTGTATTTAGTAATTAGGAATTACTTAAAGATCATTTATAAAATGGAGTAAGAGCTCTTGACATTGGTTCTGGTAGTGGATATTTATGTGCAGCAATGAAGTTAATGATGAAATCATAATAATCAAAAGTAATTGGCGTTGAACATGTTCCAGAATTGGTTGAAAAATCAATAAAAAATTTAAGCTAGTAAATTACAATAATAATAGATAGAGCTTACAATCAATAGTTAATAGATAAGCAAATATAAATTATAAAAGGAGATGGACGATTAGGGTTTGAGTAAGAAGGCCCCTATTAAGCTATTCATGTAGGTGCTGCAGCTGAAACAATACCACAAAAACTTTTAGAATAATTGGATAAAGGAGGTCGTATGGTAATTCCTGTTGGTAAGGGAAACCAAGTGTTTTAAGTAATTGATAAGGATCAAAATGGGAAAATTAATATTTAAAATGTTTTAGGAGTGAGATATGTTCCTTTGACAGATTTAAATAAGCAACTAAATAATTGATAGATTGATTTATTTTATCAAATATCGATTATAAAGAATTCTAAATAATATTCAATTTACAAATATTACAAACACAATTTAAAACTTATTATACAATTAATTATTATGCAAAGTGTAGATCACGAACATTATACAAAAGTAAAAAAATTACCAGGAGGAGCTTACGGTAAGATTTATCTGTGTAAATGTGAGAAACCAATACATAATAAAAGAATATTTTAATGGATTCCTCAATTAGTAGAAATAGAGACTCATCCATAATTTGTAGTAATAAAAAAGTTCAAGCCTTTAAAAAAGAAAGTTGGATTAGACATTGATAGTCTACGTGAGGTCAGATTCATGAATACTATGATTCACTAAAATTTAAACATCCCTAAGCATGTGTTTATGAAAACATCAAAAAAAAGGAATGATGATACATTTGGCTCAATTTGTTTTGTTTATGATCATATGGTTTCACTTTTTGAGATAATTTAATCTTATAGAGAAACTGGCGAATCATGTTAAGAAAGCGACATCAAATTAATGCTTCTCTAAATTTTATAGGGATTTGATGAACTTCATTCTAAAATGATACTACATCGAGATTTTAAACCTGAGAATGTTTTAATAACTAAGGATGGCATTTTAAAAATAACAGACTTTGGTTTAGCAAGATTATGGGAGGATAGGCCTATGACAACATAAACTTGTACGATGTAATATCGAGCACCTGAACTGTTTTTCAATTCATAAAAATATGGTCCAGCTTTAGATGTATGGGCAATAGGTTGTGTATTTGCTGAATTCTATCTCAGATAAACCTTATTTTCAGGAGAAAGTGAGCTTAAAATATTATCTAAAATGGTAAATATACTGGGAAATCCTAATGAAAAAAATTGGCCAGGTTTTTAAAATTTGCCTTAAGTCATTCAATTTGAAAAGAGAGACCCAGTTAACCTATTTAAATTATTTCCAAAAATGAGTAGCGAGGGAATTGATTTATTATCCAAAATGTTATAATATGACCCAAATAAAAGAATTTCAGTAAAGGACGCTTTGAGTCATCATTATTTTAATTAGATTGAGTCATAAAACCTGTCTAAAAAACTGATGCAAATTATTCAAAGTAAATTAAATTGATATATTTTACAAAATATAATAAGTTTTATCATTTTTTATCATTTGGAGTCTCTTTTAAACTACCTAATTTAATATTATATTTGTCTTTAAAAGATTTCTATATCTATTCAAACAATTTGATGGCTTTAATCTTACTTTCATATTTTAATTCATATTTAGTTGAGTTTGCTTAAAACCAATTTTTTCTAACAGGAGTATGAAGCTTAAATTTAAGCAGTTTTTTCTTTTCATCATATTTTATTTATTTAATTTTATAAATCATAATTTTATCACAATGTATAGATGAATGAGACTAAAAGTATAAAAATAAATTTTACCAAAACATAAACTATTCTCGAATCAGTTAAAACTATTTAAGCTTCTTATTTTTTCTTGTCTCCATCTGATATATTTAGTTGATCAAAAAATATAATACTTTCTCCATCAATAACTTTCAATTTGTATCTCCTTATAATATCTGTCCCTATGGCATGCTTAAAATTAAATGGGATTAATTGATTGTTATCTCCAAAAATTCTTGGTGGTCTGTATCGAGTGTCCATAATATGTTCTTCATATATTGCAGTATTTTTTATTCCTTCAATTATTGTAATCAATAGATCATAGATTCCTACTGTAGGTTTGATTATAATTCCCATGATTCCTTAGTAAATTCCCAACAAAAAGCCTAAAAATCCACCGTCATTTATTCCAGTGATTGGTCTTTCTAAAACTCCAATTATTGTTTGAAACAGAATTTTAGCAAAATTAGTGAATCCAATGATTAATCCTTCTCTAAAATTTTTAATTGCTCTATTTAATCTATTACTTCTCTCTGACATATATTTCTTATCTAAAGTCATTTAATCTAGAATTTTCATTATTGTTCCAATTATTGTATTAACTGTTTTATAAACCCCGGTTATCGAAGTGTGGATTAAAGTTACTGCTCCAGTAAAGAATTTTTCTCCCACCTTATAACCACTCTTTCCTGTGACAAGAGCATATATGGGTTCATAAAACATATCAATAACACCTGTGCCTAAATTAGAAATTAGAGAAACTGGATTTCCAAATATTTCAAATGATCCTAACAATTTATAAATTTGTGTTAAAAATTAACTAATAATATACTTTTATAAACATACCCTTTGTAATGCTTAGATATTCTGCCAATAATTTCATTACTTGATCCAAAGATATGTTAAGTCTTGAAAGCATTTAATCTAATTTTCGCACTGTCAATTGATGCTAATGTTAATCCCAGATCTGCTATGACTCCTATAGATGATGAATTCATAACGTGACCTGGCGATGATCTAAATAATGAAATCAAATATATACTTTAAAGTAAAACATATGTCGATTGGTTCTAGCATTAAATTTTTTAGATAAATCTTACTAATACTATGTTATTTTATTTTCTTTAATTATTCTTCTTGTTTTTTTTATAGAGATCCTAATCCAAATTAACTGTTGCTTGATTATTATACATCACTAAAATTACTATCCCATATGATGGCTGCTATTAAATTATAATACTATATTATTTAATCTAAAATTTAATGATCCAGTCTAATTTCTAAAGTATCTGTAAACATTTATAGCGTATGAATATAAGAAATCTTAAATTTGGACTGGTTTTATTGTTAATCATTAGCTTAAACTTAGCTTGCTTAAGCATTTGGTTCATTCTTAACAACAACTCTACTTCCATTATTCACACTCGCATTTGACTTTTTTACTTATGATTGATCTTTTCTGTAAGTAGTCAATACAAAAAATGGTTATTGATTTCCAAATATTTTTTTTTTATTAGGGGCTAACAAAACAGGAAATTGTGAGTTTATTATTTAATTATTAATTATAATTAAATCTATAGATAGGTTTATGTGCTCTTTAATTTATTTTATTTACGGTTTTTCTGCTAATAAATTTGTGTTATCATCATCATCGTAATTTTATCTTAATTGAAGATCTTTCTAAACTTCTTCTATCAAAATATATTCAGCTTATATGTTTTTAAAGCAGATTTATAATATTTCCTTTGGGGTTTCGTCAATAATAGATATACCTACACAATTACTTATTGAAATCTTATAGCAAGTAAATTATTAACGTTATGTGTCCTCTTCTTTTTCCTACTAAATTTCTGATCCTTCTTTTTGAGAATCAGCTCTATCATTTGATTTGTTCTAAAAAAATGTAACCACTTTAGTTTAATTCGATGGTTCAATTTTTAATTCCACCATTTCAGGTTTATCAATTAAAATTGCTCTCCATAAATATTCTACCCATTAATTTGCTTCATCAACTGTCTTAGTTTAGAAATGTAAATTTTTGGATAGCATTTTCTCTGGGTTAATTTTTAATACAAATTCATTATCCTTGCTTTCATCTACTTTTGCTCCTTATAAATAATATGATTCATGTTATTTCTTATCTGAAGAATAAACATTAAATTTTTATTTCAATACATTGAGAGTACAATAATAGACTCTTGGTTTATCCAAATCTTTTATAAATATATTTCCTTATTTATAAAGATATTTCTTATTCACTAATTTTTTTCGTTTTTATGACTAACCAGGTAATGTGAGTGGTTAAAAGTTTTGAATCTTATCTATTTCATATTTTTCTGTCTAACCCTCTATTTCAACTTCTAACACATGTTCCTTGTCATCAATCCAATGATCCCAAGTAAAAGCTACTCTTTCTCCAGGTTATAAATAAGTAACTTCATTTCCTCCAGCAGAAAATTATATTAACTCCTAATCTTGAGAACCAACTGGATTTGATGCTATTACTTGATGAATGCCTCTATTGATTTCGTTATTTTGCATAATTGGATTAGCTTAATTTAATCGATATTTTTATGCTTAACTGGAGGGTTGTTGTTTGTAAGTAATTTCATATTTTGTTAAATTTTCTATATAATAAGGAGGAATTATCGGATCTTCTAATATAAATCTTATTAATAAGATTAAATCATCCATTAATGTTATATTAACCTTCTAAAGCACGTAAAGTTACTAGTAATCAGAATTATTGTTATTCATAATTGGTTTGATACTAGGAATTTTTAAGGAGATTTCTTAAACCTATAGTTTAAAATACCCACTCCAACCAGATATGAGACCAGTGGATTCTTAATAGAAGGATATCATTGCAAGAGCAGGCTTTTTGATATTGGACCAGCTAAAATATTTCCAATCTCCTGGCTTCAATCTCAATAAATTATTATCTCTATACTCAGTATCTACTTAAGCCATGGCTATATTATACTAAGTTTCATTATGCACGATAAATCTTGGTGTAATTGTGATTAATTTGCTTCTATGAAACGATCCTGGGCCACTTGTGATTGCCATACCAAATTCAAATTTTCCTTTGGCATCTGCACTTGTTCTCTTTTTACGATCTTTTGATTGCAATTATTCATGATCTTTTTTTAAAATTTCTGTTGATCCTATTATTTCTAGAACATTGCTATTTTATAAGCTTACTGGATTACTCCACTTAGAGATATCTGAGAGTTATTAATCATTTAATTATCCTATGGCAACTTATATTTTGTTCATATTTGTGCTTGTAGCAAATTAATGTAGATTATGATATTAAGAATGTTACTCTATTTCTTTTTTTTATTTATTCTTTTAATAAGTTTTACTAAAATTTTAATAATAAACCCAATCATCTGAAAGAATATCTTAAGTTAAGCCATATTCTCTGTACATCAATAGCTTATTTGTTTCATTAAATATTAAGTATGGACAATATAATACTAATTCCCTTGACTTAGTTGATCTTTTTTTAATTAGAACTGTCAAGTATTAATCGTTGCCTTTTTATTGTTTAAATTTAATTTAAAACTTGTTCTCTTCTCCCAGACCAAAACCTCTATTAAATATTTTAAAAGGCTTAGTTCTCAATAAGTCATCATTTTATGCATCTCCTCCTTCAATTTTAAGTTAGTTTTTGATTGAAAATTAAACTTCAATATCATCATGATAATCTAATGTTTCACAATAGTAATGTTAATCCGGTGACACTGGTAAATAAGGTAGTTATTTTTCAGATTATTATTTATTGGAAGAAAATACACCATAATGTATATTGATATCTCTTACAGTTGCATTTGTAAATTTAAAAATAGGATAACAAATCAAATAGGTTTCATAACACGCATCATTATCATCTTCACTTGGTTTCTATTCGCCAATTTCATTGAAATTAATCATTGCTTTCCTTTAATTGGTGATTTAATTTTTTATTTTCACACAATTAATTATAAAGTAAAAGTTATTTCTTTTAATATTACTTTTCATTGAGGTTATTATGTGATCATATTTATAATTTAAGGGATCATGAATTTATTTGAATTCCGATTTAATTACAGGATTTGTTCTACCTTAAGATGTTACAATTTGAGTTGCTTGTTCCAAAACTTCAACAATTGAATTATCCTTATCAACTTCAAATTCTCCTATTGATTGTTAATCACACAATAATGTATCTAATTAATAATATTTTCTTTCTAATTATTCATCTTATTGACGATTTTATATTTTCTCTGGTGTAAATCTAACTTCTGTTTTATTTTCTAAGAATTCCAAAGGAACAATATAAATTTACTTTGGCTCTAATTTAACTGAAGTTGTTTCTTTCATTTAACCATTCACTTGAAAACCTAATTCTAAGGAAGTACTTAAATAATTGTATATTTTCACAGTACTTTAAATTTAAATTTCTTTTGAACCATTCTGAGGATTAATATTTACATTAACTTGAATATAGATATTTCTTTCTTCGTTGATTTTCTTTGTGTCAGCTAAGAAAACTCCAGTAATTTTATCGATGTTAGTTTTAAATGCATCAAAAGTGCCTTTTTTACCACTGTGAAGGTCCTGTTATTCATTCTTATGCTATCTTACCAATGGGTAAAATTTCTTTCCCACAAAATCAAAATTAACGTATTTAATTGTTTTGTAATTACTAATATTTTTTTCACTTCTTTATTA